ACTCCGGCCATTGTTTCAAGCACTTTACGCAGTTATCTGAAACAATATTTCACAAACGTTGACATTAAGTCAAGCAGAAGGAATCTGAGGGTGTGTTCGAAGTAGACAGGTTACAAGCAACATTCGAGAGCCACTCAACCTCCTCGCCTCTGCAGCCATGAGAAAACTGCAGCCTGGTTTGGGACTTAAATCTTGGTTTGAGGAAGCCAGGCATCAAGGCATTTCTGGATGGACACGCTGGTTCCCTTATTAAAGGGGAAACTCATATTTCTGCTTTGAAGTTGTACTTCTTCCAAGGGGTTTATGGTGTGTTTTTGTTGTTGTTGTTTAGTTCTTTGTTTGTTTAATATATTTTTCTTGATTTCAGAGAGGAAGGAAGGGGGGAGATAGAAACATCAATAATAATAGAGAATCACTGATCAGCTTCTTCCTGCACACCCCCAATGAGGATCAAACCCGCAATCTGGCATGTGCCCTGACTAGGAATCAAATTTTGACCTCCTGGTTCACAGGTTGATGCTCAACCACTGAGCCATGCTGCCCGGGCCAAAAGGTTTATGATTTGTCTCTACAGGATACAGCAGAGAAAATGGAGGAGCGGAAATCATCAAATAAATTATTCAAGAAAATCTCCCAGAACTGAAAAGCATGGGTTTCCACATTGAAAGATTCTGCCAAGTGCCCAATCCGACAGGTGAAGACGCAACATGTGACATTTCAGCCTGCTGGAAAGAAAGGGAAAAACCCAAAAGTTCTGGGGAAAGGGATAGGAATAGGATCGTATGAAGAATCCATAATCAAAATAGCATTAGACTTAACAGCAACACTATTGAGATGCCAGGAAACAGTGTAACAATACCTTCCAAATACTGAGGGAAAATTATTTCCAGTCTAGAATTCCATACCCTGCCCAACTATCAGTCAAGAGTGAGGGTAGTGAAGGTTGATTAACCATATTTTCAGACATAAAAGTGCTATGAATCCTTTCTCAGAAAATACTAGAAAATGTGCTTTACTAACATGAAGGGGAGAAAAGAAAAGGAATACATGGGATCCAGGAAACAAGGGATGCAACACAGAAAGAAGAGACCCCCAGATGACGGGAAAGAGAGATTCCAGGGTGACAGCAGGACTAGTGAGCAATCAGTCAGATCGAACCAGGGAGACAGAGGGCTCCAGGAGGGTCATCTTTGAAAAGATGAAGTTGATAGAATAGGCAGTGTTCAACATATGAAGAGGAGATTTATACTTCCAACATTGAATGAGAGAATAAGTTAGTGATAGGTACATAGAAAACTTAAACAAATTGAAGAAGAAATATTTATTACAAAGAAATTTAATATAGTATAAAATATGATTTGACTGTGACTAGTATTTAAATAGTCATAATAATGGAAACATTTATCTAGTGATTTTGAATCTATTGAAATGGATATATTGAGAAGATGGGGAGAAAAGGAAAGTGAGGAAGAAGTGGGATGGGACAATGCTGTATACGAGAGTTTAATAAGTCCCCATCCTTCATAGCAATAAGTCAAGCATTAAACATTAAAACTTTTTTTTTTAATCAAGAAATAGTAGTATAAGCCTGTTGTCTAAAAATAAGAAGGGTTGAGCATCATACTGTGCACCTAAAGGTTGCTGGTTTGATTCTCAGTCAGGGCACATACCTGGATTGTGGGTTTGATTCCTGGTTGGGTATTTATGAAAGGAAACCAGTTGATCTCTCTCTCTCTCTCTCTCTCTCTCTCTCTCTCTCTCTCTCTCTCTCTCTCTCTCTCCACTCCTTCTCTTTAAGCATGTCCTCGAGTTAGAATTAAAAAGCAATCATAATAAAATAAAATAAGAAGGCAAATGCCAAAAGTAACAGCTAAGAAAGTGGGAGGTGGGAATGCAGGTATGTGTCACAAACTGGGATGGCTCTCCCTTGCCCATTTTTTGGGGGGGAGTGGGGGGTAAATGGCTCTTTTTCATAAAGGTTTTATTATGTCATACACACTTAACTTTGATTTGTTTTGATTAAAATTTTTTAAATATGGAAGGCATCCACGGCAAGTGAGAGGTGTGGGACAATGCCATTAGTCAGGTACGGCTGACTCACGAGCACAGGGCAGGGAAGGGCGGAGCGGAAGCAAAGCGGGTAGAGAAGGAAGAGCCAAGCATTGGAGGGGAAAAGGAACATCATGAGAGGTGAGGCAGAGGCGTCCGGATCACATCCTTGTTCTTCATCTTGACCACATTCTTATAGGAAGGTCACTGGGCAGAAATGGGGGTGAGAGAGATGAACAGCAAGGGGCCCTGGTGAGCAGGCTGTGGCCAGTCGTAGGGAGAGAGGAGGCAGGTCTGAATGGGGCAGTGGTTTGGGGAACAAAGAGGAGGTATTTCTCAGGGAGCTCATCAGCACAAAATGTACAGGCTGGGGGGGGGGGTGGAGGAAGGAGTTGACAGGGGTTAGGAGGAGGAGCAGGTGGGAAGGAGAAAGGCTCTAACCATCGGCACTGACTAGCCCCAAGGCAATCTCACCCTTCCACTGTCCAACAGAAAAAATCACTGTGTGCTGTTATGCTCAGATTTCGTGATCCCCAAAGACCACCAGGGAGCCAAGTCCGATGCAAAAGCAAGAGTCCTTTATTCAGGCTAGCCCGAGCTCACCCCCCACATACCAATGCAGCAGCAAGGTGGAGGAAGAGAGCGGGTTTCTCTAGAACAAATAATTTATAGGGGTGGTGAGGTCACTGCTTCGGCTGACTTCAATTGGTTGGGTGAGGGCTGGGGTCCAGGTACATATTGACATAGTTATACAAAATAGAGGAGGTAGCACAAGATGGAGTCAGGAATTAATCCTGTCCTGCTCTCTCAGTGCAAAGGTGAGGAGACAAGGGATCAGACCTAAGAGCTCAAGCGTTGAGTCTGTGGGTTAAAATAGCGAAGGTGGCAGGGTGGCACAGAAGAAAGGCACGCTGAGATGGGCCCTCAGAAGCCGGGGTGATGATGATCTGTGGGATCGCCTTCTCTGGGGCCATCCTGCTACCTTAATAGCCTATTTTGTAATGTTCTATATTGTCCCAAATCCCTCAAAGTTCTTGGGAAAACCGTCATGGCATGCACACGGCAGCCAGACAGCCCTGGCCGGGAACCTCGGTGGTGTTCAGCATGACTTCATGCAAGTGGCTTAACCTCCCTGAATCCCAGGGTTGTGTCTGTGACCACACCCAGGTCACAGAGTTGCTGGGAGATATCAGGAAAGAACCTCTGTCAGATGCCTCCCAGGATGTCTGTTGGCATGCGGGAGCTCCTTCCCACCCTGTCTCTCCCCTCCCCTCCCACCAGGGAGGGCATGGAGGTCTTCCGCAAAGACCCTGCAAACTCCTCCGAGCTTCGCTCTTTCTCGTATCCCTCAGACTGAGGTCCTAGAAGGCTCCTGGGCATCACCTTCAACTCCTTCCTCATCGATTCAAGAACAGAGACCACACTTGTTTGCATCAACCAGAAAGTCAGCTTTATTTGCCCACCACCAGCGGAGGGGAAGGGGAGACAGCTGGGACTTGCGCTGGGAGAACAGGGGCCTGGCCCAGGCCTTCAGGAGGTGAGGCCAGCGTGTGGGCAGGAAGTTCTGGGAGAGGCAGCTCAGTGCTTGAGGCTCTGGCCCTGGCTGAAGCTTGAGGAGCCCTGCTCCTTGAGGAGGGGGCGAGTCTGGCGGCCGGAGGAGGAGGAGGAGGACATGGCTGTGGGAGAGAAGAGATGAGGTGAGAAGGATTCTGGGAGCTCAGCTGGCCCCACACAGGGAAAAGGAGGAGGGAGGGGGGGATAGAAACTCTGGAGTGCCTGGGACCCTCAGGAGTCTTACTTACCATCTCGGGAATAGGATTGGCTGGATGATGACGTGTGCTGAGAGGAGGAGAGACTGGGGGGGAGAAAAAACAGAGCAGTTAGAGGTGCTGGGAGCAGCAGCATGGGGTGGGGGTGCTGAAGGGTCTATGGAGTAGGACTGGGGGGGATGGGGTGCAGGGGCAGGCACTCACTGGGCGTCCTCGCCCTCCAGCAGGCGGCGGTAGGTGGCGATCTCCTGCTCCAGCCGCGTCTTCACGTCCAGCAGGATCTGGTACTCGTGGCTCTGCTGCTCCATCTCGCAGCGCAGCTGGGCCAGCTGCTCCTCCACGCTGCCGATCATGCCCTGGATCTGGGCCAGCTGCATGCAGTAGCGGCCTTTGGTCTCCTCCAGGCTGCCCTCCAGGGATGCTTTCTGCTCGTGAGAGAGAGAAAAAGAGAGTCGTTGGAGGTGGTCACTGCTGTCCCTACAGGTCTCTGGGCATGTTTTCTGGGAGGTGCATGGGCTATGGGAGTCAGGCAACATGGAGAAAAGTTATTCCCCCATTCTGGGCCTCCAGTGCTCCATCTATAGAGTGGGTACAAGTTTCCCTTCAGCCCCACGCCTGGGGAAGGAGAGGAGGAACTATTGTGGGGGTGTTGAGGGGTTGGCGTCCATTCCTGGTGGCTTGGGGTTGGGGCCGAGCTTTCGTACCATGCTGAGCTGGGACTGCAGCTCGATCTCCAGGCTCTGGAGCGTCCTCCGGAGCTCGGTCACCTCGCTGCGGTTGCTCTGCACCAGCTGGCTGTTGGAGGCCACTTCTCTGTTCAGCTCGTCGGTCTGAGATGGGGAAGCAGAGCAGAAGGTGTGAGGCACTCCAGCGGCGGCCCCCCCGGCTGGGAAGTCCGGTGGGAGGCCCGAGGGCCCAGCCCCACCTTGCTCAGGAACCAGGCCTCCGCGTCTCGGCGGTTCTTCTCCGCCATCTGCTCGTACTGGTCTCGCATCTCGTTCAGGATGCGGCTCAGGTCCACGCCGGGGGCGGCGTCCATCTCCACGTTGACGTCCCCGCCAGTCTGACCCCGCAGGGCAAGCATCTCCTAGGAAGGGATGGCGAGAGGGAGTCAGCTCAGCATCTATCCCCCCGCTGACCCCGCCTCCCACTAACCAGTGCCAGCAGCCGCCACCACCTCACCTCCTCGTGGTTCTTCCTCAGGTAGGCCAGCTCCTCCTTCAGGCTCTCGATCTGCATCTCCAGGTCGGCCCGGGCCAGGGTCAGCTCGTCCAGCACGCGGCGCAGGCCGTTGATGTCGGCCTCCACGCTCTGGCGCAGGGCCAGCTCATGCTCATACCTGGCAGACAGAGGTCAGGGCATCAGGTGGCATCTGTGAGGCCTTTGAGGCTCAAGCCCTGCTGGTGCCCCTGGGCAGACACCCCCGCTGCTCGCCCCTGCCCTCGGCCCTCGGCCCTCGGCCCTCAGCCCTGCCAAGCAGAAGGCTCACTTGGTCCTGAAGTCGTCAGCTGCCAGCCTGGCATTGTCGATCTGCAGGATGGGCTGGGCATTCTCGATGGTGGCCGTGATGATCTGCAGAGCGGGCGAAAGACAGGAGGCAGCGTTAACCACCATCCCCGCTGCTCAGGGGCGAAGAGCACAGAGGGGAGAAGGAAGTCTCCCCACATTTGGGGGTTTCCTGGCTGGCAGGTCAGGCTCTCTGCATCTCCATCCAGCCTGGGGTGCCTTCCCACCCAGCTCAGGGTGCTGTGGGGATGCACCCACCTCTCGCACCACCCCATCCCGGGCCCCGAGTCTGAGAGAAGCTGGGCATGCAGGGAAATAAGAGAGTCGGAGTCCCAGGCCCAGCTCAGACACCTCGATGCTGAAAAAGGACCCTCTGCCACTGCTCCTAGGCCAGCCTCGGTTTCCCTGTTTATAAAATGGAGATGCTAGCGAGTGGTTTCCTAAGGGCCACTGCTGCAGGACCTCTCTCAGTGCTCCACCCACCAGAGCCACCCCCTGGCCCGCCCACCTTGTTCCTGAGCTCCTCGATGGTCCTGAAGTAGTGGCTGTAGTCCTTGACCTCACTGGGCCGCTGCCTCTGGTACCAGTCCCGGATCTTCACCTCCAGGTCGGCGTTGGCCTCCTCCAGGGCGCGCACCTTGTCCAGGTAGGAGGCCAGGCGGTCGTTGAGGTTCTGCATGGTGATCTTCTCGTTGCCGGAGAGGAGGCCGCCATCGCCACCACCAAAGCCACCGCCGAAGCCACCGCCGAAACCACCGCCGAAGCCACCACCAATGCCACCGCCATAACCTCCTCCGAAGCCACTACCCAGGCCTCCACCAAAGCTGCTGCTGCTGAAGCCGCCGCCATAGCCGCCTCCCAGCCCGCAGGCTCCCCCGGAGGAGAAGCGGGAGGAGGACATGCCCCCGAAGGCGCTGGAGGCCCGGCAGGACCCGCCGGCCAGGGCGGAGGACATGCGGCTGGAGCCGCCGCCAAGGCCACAGGCGCCCTTCATGGAGCTGGAGGAGGAGAACTGGCGGCTGCAGGTGGTCATGATGGAGGTGAGTGAGTGAGTGAGCGAGCGAGCGAGTCGGCAGAGAGAAGAGAGAGGTGCTCAGGAAGGTGGGAGGATGCTGGGGCTCCGGGAACTGGCACCTTTATACTGTCCCTGGGAAGGCGGGGCCCTCCCAACTGCTGACTCCGGGTTCCCCTCCGGGTTTCGTCACTCCGGGTCCCGTCCAACTCCCCGCACCGGATTACTCAGCCCGGGGTCGCTGTGCTGCTCGCAGTTCCCACCCAGCTCTGGGGGTGTGGGGCCGAGAGAAAACACACACAAAAGCCGGGCGGTGGTGACTCAGGCTGGGCGGCAGCAATCGGCTCCTGTTCCCGGAGCCCCAGGGGACTGCAGGGCCTTGGCCCGGGTGGCTTTGTGTGGCTGCGTCCCCGGGCGGTGAGTCAGCCCGTGGAAGACTCCCTGCCCCACGGTGACAGCCTCGGCCTCGCCATCCCAGGGGCCCTCTTGGGATGCGGCCGTGGGGATCCCGCACGCCTGGCAGTTGGCAGGAGAGCTGGCTCCTGGCCTGGCTCTGCCTGGCTCCCTGTGTGACCTGGGACCCTTTACCGACCCTCTCTGGGCCTATACCCCCCAGCAAAGTGACCAGGCTGGACCGGGTGGTCTTGGAGTCCCTGCTAGTTCTACAGATGTGATCACTCTCTCTGTGTGTGCACCATGGAACCAGCCTGCTTACTAATCATGTATGAGTTGGATAGAGTGCCCACGGAGTTGGCCAGGTGGCAGCTTCAACCCCGGCTCTGCCCCTTACAAGCTGCATGGCATTGGCATCCTTTAGCCCCTCCGACCCCAGGGGTTTCTATCTGTAAAAGAGGAGGACACACCACCAGCCACAGAGAGATGTGCATGAAGAACCCCTCGGGCCCCTCCCCAATGGCCAACTCTGACCCTCACTCACCAGCTCCTTCAGGGCCCCCCCCCTTTTTTCCCAGCACAGATGCCCCTCACCTACCTCCTGAAGCCCACCTTTTCCTGGCACCTCCCTCCCACACCCCTGCCCTCCTCTCTGTGCTCATGAGCAACCCAGCTCGAATGCATTGCTCCACCTAATTGCTGGCACCCACTGTACGATGTGATGGGAGGGGGTCCCTGCCCTGCGACCAGCACCATGAGTGACCCCTGACCACTCCACGGGCTTTGAGCCCCCCACACTGTGTCCAGGGCTCAGCTCCCAGCAGTTTTCTCTCAAGTGTCCACAGACTTCTGGCTAGGCCCTCTCCTTCAGTTGAGAGAGATGGGAAGGTGGCTCTCTGGTCACCTGCCATGCTCGGGAGTGGCATAGAGTGTCCTACCTGCGCCTGCCCCCGCCACAAGTTCACAGACAGGGAAGTGCGAAAGTAAGTAGGCTTCCCAAGACCCTAGTCAATGGGGAGCTGAGGTCAGAACCCCAGTCTGTCCGTTTGTCCAGCTGGAGCCCTTTCCACCACCAGGAGCCACCCTCTCTACGCATCCCCAACATACATCTTTGTCTTGAACTCATCCTGTGAAGTAGAGGGAACCCCAGAGAGGGGGCGATTCCCCTGAAGTCACTAGTCTGGGACCAGAACTGAGCTCAGGCCATCTCTGACACCGAACATGGCACAGGTCCGGGCTGCCTGTCACCACCTGAGCCAATGGAGCAGCCACAGGGTTGAATCGTGTATGAGTGTCTATCCCAGTACTGCCGGCAGCATGGGAGAGCAGCTGGCCATCACGAAAATCTGCTCTGCCCCCGCCACATGCTTGTATTGGGAAGAAAAACAGAGATCACCTGGGACAGTAGGAAGGACACGCATGGAGAAGCGGGCATGGGATAACGGTGACAGGTTCCCGGCCAGGCAGGCTGGTGGTCGCAAAGGGAGAGCACCTCCAGGGCCAGATTTTTTGGGCAACAAGCTTGTTCAAGTTGCCGTGATGACAGGCAGTTCTGGAAAAGGAGAATGGCCGCCTTCCGAGGTTGACTCCCATGTCCCCAGGCACACAACTCTCAGCCAGGCCAGAATGTGCTTTCTCTAATCAGAACAGAACGATCGCAAATAACAGAGCGTGATTAATGTGTCTTGCAGCTGCAGCGAGGACCCGCTGTTCTGTTTCTGCCCCATAACAGCCCCCCTCGCCCACAGCATCTTAGAGGAGGGACCAAGGTGTGTCTGTGCTCATCTACCGCCCTGGAAGGAGCTCTGCCCACAGTGGGCATGACCTTGGCCCAAGGGCTGGAGGCAGGATCGGGAGGGTCTAGACCCAAAATCAGAGGCCTCCTGGGGGGTGGGGGCCTGAGGGGAGACCCACAGAGCTGGCCACGGTACTTGCTCGGAAGTGCCTCTGTCGAGGCCAGGAGCAGGGAGGGCCTGCCCCAGCCTGAGTTCTGCTGGGCGATACCACCCTGAAACTCTCTGCCTCAGCACAGCCGGGCTTTGCCAGTGCTGCATGGCGCCCCGTCAGTCATCTGTCTGTGGGCACAGGGCCAGTGGTATTAGCAGAGCTGGTGCCCAGCACACTCCTTTAGGACTAAGCCTGGGAGATACTCCCTCCCTCCCCACACTCCGCAAATGGGTAAAGGGAGCTTGGAATTTTTGGACAAAAAAAAATCCTACCATCTCAGGTGTCAGGGCGGGACTGGAGGTCAGAGCCGACTACAGACTCATCACTCTCAGAACTGGACATGACCTTTGAGGTCACCAAAGGCCACCAAGATCCCACCAAAGAGAGCAAGAAATTTTCCCCAAGTTACACAGCCCGGAGGCTGAGGAGCAGGGACTCAAACCCTAACCTGGCTCTGTGAGCTTTGCCTCTCTGTCCCCAGCACAGCCTCTGCCTCCTTTCTAGTTGGACCACCGCCCCTCCCCCATCCCTGCAGGTGCGGGAGGGGTGCACACAGGCCCAGCGCTGAAGGCCCAGGGAGCTGGCTGGGCCAAGAGGCTGCAGGAATAAAGTTGCTGACCAACCCATTGGACCACTCAGTCAACACCACAGGCCAAGCACCCACTACTTGCCCGGTATTGGGGGTGCAGGGGGTGGAGGAGATGTGACACAGTTGCTGACCTTGAACCTTTTGACTTGACCTGGGGGGAACACTGAGGTGGGAATGCAGCACTGAGCTGTGGGGAAACTCTGAGATGCTCTGCCCTCGGGATGCAGCTTGGTGAGTGCTACCAGCTCCCAGCCCAGTGGTAAAGGAGGGGCTGCCTCTGAGACCCTCCTGGTAAGGTGGCTCCAGTTGGGCCTTGGACAATCTGAGTTGGCAGAGGAGTGGGGAGCATATCCTCCATTACACCTGCCATAAGGTTGCCAAGTACCAGAATCACCAGGCCAGGTGGGCACAGAGCACCTCCAGGCAGTGGGTTCGCCTCATTCCTCTCTCCTGGGGCCATTCCATCTCAGGTATGAGGTCATCTCATTCCAGAGTTGGCCAGGAAATATTATTGGCCAATGCCACACCTCCACTTGCCAGATTCACAAATCTGACTGATCACCAGCATTCTATCCAGATCCCTGGGCCCTGCTCCAGCTTACTGCACCAACATCAGCCCACTGATCAGCCTCAGCCCATTGCACAGCATCTGCCCACTGCATCAGCCCCAGCCCACTGCACAGCATCAGCCCGCTGCACAGCATCAGCCCACTGCATCAGCCTCAGCCCACTGCACAGCATCAGCTCACTGCACAGCATTAGTCCACTGCACAGCTTCAGCCCACTGCATCAACATCAGCCCACTGCACAGCATCAGCCCACTGCACCAGCCTCAGCCCACTGCACAGCATCTGCCCACTGCACAGCATCTGTCCACTGCATTGGCATCAGCCCACTGCATAGCATCTGCCCACTGCATCAGCATCAGCCCACTGCATCACCTCAGCTCACTGCACAGCCTCAGCCCATTGCACAGCATCAGCCCACTGCACAGCATCACCAGGACCAGGCAGGTCCTAGGACTGTTTTCTTTCTGGTAACCAGCCAGGCTGGGGGAAGAAGGCCCCAGGGAGGCTGAGGGGAGCGAGGAGGGGGCTGCAGGGCCCTCAGCTCCTGCTGGCAGCGATATCCATGGGCTCCAGGGGAGGATGAAGGGAGAAGAGTCTGGATGGGCCAGGACAGAGCAGTCTGGAGTCAGGCAAGCAGGGACCAGATATTAGATAAGACTTTGTGTCTCTCTGGGCCTCAGTTTCCTTCTCTGGGAAATAGGAAGGTCAGCACTACTTCACAGGCATGTTAGAGGCGAAATAAATAAAGCACCCAGCACACACTGGTGGCCATATTGCATTTATTCACAGATATTTATAAAGCACCTACTCTGTGCATTGATATGCAAAAACAACAACACTTAAAAAAAAAAAAAAAAAAAAAAAAACAAGAAGAGAAACGCTGAGGGCAGGCTCTCTGGGAGTGAACAAATGTCCCTGACTCAGGCGTTGGCCCCTTGACTGGTCCCAGGATCTGGGTGAACCTGAACGCCAAGCTCCCCCATGTTTGATACCCCCTCCCGCCCCCCCCCCCCCCCCCCCCCGCTCAGGGCAGGGGCTGTCACGGCCCCTCACAATGGTCTACACAACCCTCAGGGAAGCCCATGGCTGGGTCAATGTCAGTTGCAGCCTGAGCGCTATGCCTGGTGGGAGAACTGTCCTGGCTCTGGTCCCGCTGTCTCCTCAGCCACCCACAGCAGGTGGCACAGGAGGCCCACACCGCATAAGGGCAAAGGGTGAGCACAGCTCGCCACTGTGCCATGCTCATCCTCCTAGGCTAGGGTCTCTTGGGGTCCCTGCAGGCCAGGGCAGGTATCTCTTGCTTCCCCCAGGCCCTTGCAGACCCAGGCATAGAGCGGGCAGTGCCATGGGCAGTGTCCTGTCTGTGGTCACCCTCCCAGGGCGTGGAGGAG